TCCTGAGTCCTCTGTCCTTGGCTATAGATGGCTTCTTCTCCGTGTTGTCACATGGTTGTTCCTCTGCATGTGTGTCCTAATCTCCTCTTATAAGGACACCAGTTGTACTGGATTAGGGCCCACCCCAGTGATCTCATTTTAACTTGATTACTCTGTAAGGCTCTGTTTCCAAGTACGGTCATTTTCTGACATCCTAGGGGTTAGGGCCCCAGCATGTGAATCTGAAGGGACATTATTCAACTCGTATCAGGGTCCCAGGAAGGACATTGTGGACCAGCCCCATCTTGGATTTGGGTGGGGGTGGTGCCCTGTGGGCACTGGGACTTGAGCAGGCCCTGCCCATACCAGGTTCTTAGGCTTCTGTCCCTTCTCTGCCATCCCTGGAACCTGGCTTGCCCAGCACCAGCCCTGGCCCTCTGGAGACTTGGAAGTGAGACCTTTTCCCACCTGCCCTTACCAGGTTGTGTGCTGACTTGTGCCTCCTCTTCCAGAGGGGACCTTTTCCCTGTCTTCAGCCTGCTGTGTGGGGTGGGTAAGGCCTGAGTACTCTGGCCCTGGCCCTCCTGTGCCCTAGCTTCTGCCCCTAGGCTGTTAAGCTTCTTCCAGTGTCCCTCCCCACACACTGTTCATATGCAGGCACCTGCCAGCCCTGGACTTTTCCCTAACCATTTCCTCTTGACCTCACTGCCAGGTAGGCCTCCTGGGCCACACTCACTCTGATCCCAGCCCTGTTCACATTGTGATCTTTGGGTCTCAGCTCCCACACCCTGGAGATGGGGGGAGCCAGACACATAAGCAGTCTCCATTCGTGTGTTATTCCAAGGATAGACAGAAGATCCCCCAGGCTGGGCTGACATGCTGCACAATGGTCAAAGGCCTGTGACTGTGCCTTCTGCAAGGAGCGGGTTTATTTGCCCATCAGGTCCTTGACGGAGAGGATGTCCTGGGGCAGCCTGCCTAGGTGGGGTCAGGCTAGGGCCTCCATGTGGCCAGGTGTACCCTATCATGAGACCATTTCTCTTGGGTTGTGGGCTGCATGGAATGACCCCATCATGTGCAGGTAGATATTCACTAAGGACTGTCAAATGTCTGGGAACAGGAGGCTAGAAGTCTGGCTGGGACCCTGAGGCATAAATCAGGCTAAACTGTGGCAAACTGTCACCCAGAGCCTTCAAAGCCTGGCCTGCTGAACACGACAGCAGGTGTGTAACTGGGGGGGGGGTATGGTGCAGGGCTGACTGCCACCTATGTTCCTGTCCCATGGGGCCCTCAGCTGCTCTCCCCTCCTGCTTAGAGTACAAGTTGGTGTTCTTGGTCCCCCTGAGGCCCAAGCCAGGGTGCCCTGGGACTGTTGAGTACTGCTGCTGCCTTTGACCAGCTTCTGAGCCTAGCTACTCAACAGGGCTTTATGGTCAGCAGCAGCCATGGCTCTGAGCTCTGTGCTGCCCCCATGAATGGGTTGGTCTGAGTTTTATGCTTTCTGCTTGGCTGAGAATTTCACCATGGTCTGTGGCAGCCACCCTCTCTGAAGTCAACATGTCTTTGCATCAGTAAAGATGGGTTGGGCGTCAGCAGAGAGTGGCTTTCTGGGTCTTCCTTCTGTGAGTCCAACACAGTCCTGAGCATGGCAGGTGGACCCAGGCCTCCCACTCAGCCTCAGGGCTCTGCTTGCAAGCAGCTATGAATGAGGGGGACCCTAGGAGCAGACTGGGGTGCTGAGCCTACCCCTCCCCCTCCCGCTGCCTTGCAGAGTACGGGCCCAGGGGCCTCCAGTGGGCCTGGTGGAGACCACAGTGAGCTCATCACCCGGATTGCCAGCCTGGAAGTGGAGAACCAGAGCTTGCGAGGCGGTGAGGCCCGGGGCCTGACAGGTGGGGACCGGGGTCCAGCCCCTGCCACCTGACCATTGTCTCCTCGCCCCCACAGTGGTACAGGATCTGCAGCAGGCCCTCTCCAAGCTGGAGGCCCGGCTGAGTGTGCTGGAGAAGAGCTCACCCACCCACCGGGCCACAGCCCCACAGACCCAGGTGAGTACCATCCCCAAAGACCCAAGGACCCCACGTCTGGCACTGTGCTGGCCTGGCAGCAATGAGGAGCTTGTGGCTGGGGTCCTGGTGTCTACAAGGTGTCTATGAGGGTTTATAGTGATGCCCAGGCTAACCCCAGGGCAGAGTAGGGGCAGTTCTTAGCTCTCCCCAGGGCCCGGTATGTGGGGTGCACAGCTCGGGTCCACAGGAATGGGAGGAGGGCTTAGCCCAGGCAGTTGAGCACCCTCACCCCTACCCCTATGGCAGCACGTGTCTCCCATGCGCCAAGTGGAGCCTCCAACCAAGAAGGCAGCCACACCAGCCGAAGATGACGAGGACGATGACATTGACCTGTTTGGCAGTGACAACGAAGAGGAGGACAAGGAGGCAGCCCGGCTGCGGGAGGAGAGGCTGCGGCAGTACGCAGAGAAGAAGGCCAAGAAGCCGGTGCTGGTGGCCAAGTCCTCCATTCTGCTGGACGTCAAGCCTGTGAGTGGGGCAGGGCCGGGCTTCAGGGAGGCCAGGCCAGGCCAGGCCCTTGGCTGCCAGGGGCAGGGGTGCCTTGTGGCTCACTCTCTGACCCTCCCCTCTACCATCCTGGGTCCTGATGGGATTTTAAAGCCAAGTTTACAAATCTTGGGATAAGAACAGAAACTTGGAGATAGGGCAGGTATAAATTTGGATTGTTTTCTGGGGGCCCTTTAAGGAAACAATTGTATACTCAGTGGTTTGACACGGGCAGGCAGGGTTCTGGAGGTTTCTGAGGGTGGCTGGCCCTAACCTTTTTACCTCTTGCCCACAGTGGGATGATGAGACAGATATGGCCCAACTGGAGGCCTGTGTGCGCTCCATCCACCTGGATGGGCTGGTCTGGGGGGCCTCCAAGCTGGTGCCTGTGGGCTATGGCATCCGTAAGCTGCAGATCCAGTGTGTGGTGGAGGATGACAAGGTGGGGACTGACTTGCTGGAAGAAGAGATCACCAAGTTTGAAGAGCATGTAAGTGGCCAACAGGGGAGGGAGGGGCAGGATGGGAGCCTGGGTGACCCTGGGCTGCACCCTGCATGCTTGCCCTGCCTCAGTGGGGTGAGTAGGGAGCAGGAGCCATGGTAATCGTCCCCACCTCTCCTCAGGTGCAGAGTGTTGACATCGCAGCTTTCAACAAGATCTGAAGCCTGATGAGCACGTGCGTGCATGTGTGAGTGCGTGCGTGAGTGTGGCCCTGCCATAAATAAAGGCTGAGTCTCCGGCCCTTTGGCTCCTGTCTTGGTCATTCAGTGGGCAGGCCTTGTGCTCAGCCTATGTCTCCTTTTCTGTCTCAGCCCCGTCAACGCACTGCCATTCCCATTGTTCATAGCCTCTCTGTGGCCTTCTATGGCCCCATGCCCTCACCCTGGATCACCTCTTCTTGCTCCTCTCTGTCCCTGTGTCCCAGCTGCTCCCATTACTCCAGCCCCTCTGTCTGCAGGCTTTCTGTCACAAGTGACAAGTCCAATTCATGCTCTTTAAGCCTGAAATAGAATCTGTTAGGTCAGTTTCTCCACTCTCTGCATCCCACGCGCCATGGCCACGGGAGCAAAAGTGCATGCCTGGAACTGTCCAGGGGAGGCAGAGCCCTGTGCCCTACCCCTGACCTGTTGGAAACCCTGCACACATCCCACCATCTTTAGAATGAAGTCCAGACTTTTCTCCATAGTTCCTGGGGGCACTGCCCCTTCCACTCTGTGGTCTGTGCCTCCACCTGCTGGATTCCTGAGCCCAGCCTCATTCCCATCTGGTCTTGCCTATCCCCTGCCCCAGCAACCCTGTGTGGTCAGCACTTGTGTCATTGGTGGTCCCTTCCCTGGTCTGTAGACCAGCATGGCCACAGCCAGTAGTGTCTTATAAGGGTAGTGTCAGTATAAGGGTGACAGGGTGTGGCTGTGCTACTTCCTATCAATTGCTGTCCTACAGGCCCCTAGCCACAGAGGAATGGACTACTATTCCCTGGGTGAAAGGCCCTGACTTAGCCCTCAAAGCTTTCAAGAATTTGCATTGGGGGGGGCAGACATGAGGGGCTCATGCCTGTAATCCTAGCACTCTGGGAGGCCGAGGCAGGTGGATCGCTTAAAATCAGGAGTTCAAAACCAGCCTGAGCAAGAGTGAGACCCGTCTCTACTAAAAATAGAAATTAATTGGCCAACTAATAATATATAGAAAAAATTAGCCAGGCATGGTAGTGCATGCCTGTAGTCCCAGCTACTCGGGAGGCTGAGGCAGAAGGATTGCTTGAGCCCAGGAGTTTGAGGTTGCTGTGAGCTAGGCTGATCCCATAACACTCTAGCCTGGGCAACAGAGTAAGACTGTCTCAAAAAAAAATTTTTGTTTTGCTATGGGGTATGGAGTGCAGGCACCCCACAAAAGCCACCACCCTGGGACACTGACTGGGCTCACAGCCATAGAAGGCCCTTCTGGTGTCAGCTGGGGGTGAGTAAGTGGCCCTCTTGCCCTTTCCTGGGCAGTTGGGGGCCCCATCTGGGCTCCCTGGCTCTACTGTGTCGCAAGCCTGCTCTTCTAGTTTTGATAGGCTCAGCCTCTGTCCTGCTCTCCCCAGTCCTGGGGAAGAGGCTGGCTGCTGGGTGAGGTGAGGAAGTCTGGGTGGATCTGTCCTCTGTCCTCTAAACCCTGTGGCAAGCCCTGAGCTTTATCTCCTTGCCTGGCTTGGGGAAGGAGACCCAGGTTGCTGGGGAATCCTCCCTGGCGAGCACAATCTGGCCATGCTCAAAGAGGCTGTTGGCCCTGGGGTGGGGATGTAGTCCCCCATACCATACGGGGTCCAGCTGCTGCGACCTCTTCGGAGCGGCCGGAGACCATCAACCTGTTCCGCCCTCTCCCGTTGCCTGTAGAGGCTGTCTTCCCTAGGTGTCCCCACCCTCATCTGTCCCGAGACCGTTTTGCACTCAGCCCTACAATAAGCTGCTGCGGGGCGGGGCCCCGGGAGGGTGGCCATTGGCTGGGGCGCGTGACTGGGCGGGTTGGGTCGGAGTCCGGGGCGAGCGGAGCTGATGGCGGCGGAGTGGGACTCCGAGGGACGCGCGGCGGCGCGGCCGCTGCTCACCGATCTTTACCAGGCCACCATGGCGCTGGGTTACTGGCGCGCGGGCCGGGCGCGGGACCATGCCGAGTTCGAGCTCTTCTTTCGCCGCTGCCCCTTCGGCGGCGCCTTCACTTTGGCCGCAGGGTTGCGCGACTGCGTGCGCTTCCTGGGCGCCTTCCGCTTGCGGGACGCAGGTAGCGCCCGCGTCGCCCCCACGACCCCGCCATGACTCTTCTAGTCCGACCGGACGCCCCCCTCCCCGACCCCTGGCCCCCGCAATCGCCCCAGTACACAATGCCTCTCGCTCCTAGACGTGCAGTTCCTGGCCTCTGTGCTGCCCCCGGACACAGACCCCGCATTCTTCGAGCACCTTCGGGCCCTCGACTGCTCTGGGGTGACGGTGCGGGCCCTGCCCGAGGGTTCCCTCGCCTTCCCTGGCGTGAGTGCAGGGTGAGCGGGACGGAGGGGGTGGCCTGAGGGGTGCAGGTCGGGCTGTGGAGCTGACAGCCCTCCCCGCAGGTGCCGCTGCTGCAGGTGTCCGGGCCGCTCCTGGTGGTGCAGCTGCTGGAGACACCGCTACTCTGCCTGGTCAGCTATGCCAGGTGAGTTAGGGTTAGGCCAGATGGGACGGAGCGAGAGGAAGCACGGACTGAGAGGCGGGCCCTTAAAGGTGAGGTCCTGGGGCAGAGCTCTGTGGATGTGTAGGGAGTGCTAGGTGTCCCCAAAGGGTTGGCTTGGCCTCCCATTCCTATTGTGGGGGCTCTCCAGGAGGGAGTAGGGGAGGGTGGAGCTCTGGGGCTGCAACTCCAGGCCCCAGGTAACTCTGTCCACTTGGGTGGCTTCTCAATCCTCACCGGAGTTCCCTGGTCCCTGGCTCTCACAGCCTTGTGGCCACCAATGCAGCCAGGCTGCGCCTGATCGCCGGGCCGGAGAAGCGGCTGCTGGAGATGGGCCTGCGGCGCGCTCAGGGCCCCGACGGAGGTCTCACGGCCTCCACCTACAGCTACCTGGGTGGTGAGAGCTTGGGGGGCATGAGGCAAGGGTTGGGAAGGAGGAGGCCCCTGCCACCTGGAGTCCCCCAATCTGGCCTGACTCCCTCTCCCAGGCTTCGACAGCAGCAGCAACGTGCTTGCTGGGCAGCTCCGGGGTGTTCCGGTGGCCGGGACCCTGGCCCACTCCTTCGTTACCTCCTTTTCGGGCAGCGAGGTTCCCTCTGAACCGGTCAGTAGGTCTTCTCAACCCCAGGGAGGGGTGGGCCAGGCCCGGCTGTGCACACTGGCAAGTGCCACCCTATGTAAGTAGTCCCAGTGCTGCCTGGGAAGCCAGTGTGCATTACCTTTACCCTCAGCCTAGGGTGAACCCAGCCACTCCCAGGCTTCTCCCTGCACCTTGTGCCCCAGCTCTTTATCCACCTGGTTCCACAGATTTTGGCTCCTGCTGCCGGTGAGGGCTCTGGGGTAGACCTGGCTGCCAGCGTAAAGGAGTGGCTGGAGCGCGTGTGTGCCCACCTGAGGCTGGGTGTGCAGGAGCCGCATCCAGGGGAGCGGGCTGCCTTTGTGGCCTATGCTCTGGCATTTCCCCGGGCCTTCCAGGGCCTGCTGGACTCCTACAGTGTATGGAGGTGAGCCCCAGGCGTTCTGGGGTGGGCTCCACAAAGCAGCTGCAGCCCCTGACTTCTTTGTCCATGCCTGCAGGAGTGGTCTTCCCAACTTCCTGGCAGTAGCCCTGGCACTGGGAGAACTGGGCTACCGGCCCGTGGGTGTGAGGCTGGACAGTGGTGACCTACTTCAGCTGGCCCAGGAGGTCCGTGGAGTCTTCCGGGCCACTGCAGCCCAGTGAGTGCCCTGGGGAGGTGTGTGTCTGCTCAGAGACTTCTTTGGGAGCCAGGACATGGAGGGGCAGGGAGGGACTCTGGCCTAGTCTCAAGGGTGACACTACAGACCCCAGCAGGGAGGCAAGGGAGGCCTAGTGTGGGTGTGTCCAATGGGGTTGGGGAGCCCAGGGTGAATCAGGAAGGTCTGACGGGGCTCCCCTGCCCCCTCCCCTGGCTCTACCCACATCCCAGCTTCCAGGTGCCCTGGCTGGAGTCAGTCTCCATTGCAGTCAGCAACAACATTGACGAAGAAGAGCTAGTCCGGCTGGCCCAGGAGGTGCGGGGCAGGAGGGACAGGCAGAGAATGCTGAGGAGGGCCTGGGAGCTCCTGCAGGTCCTGGCTGGGCTCACTGCCACCTCCTCTCCCCTCCAGGGCAGTGAGGTGAACGTCATTGGCATTGGCACCAGTGTGGTCACCTGCCCCCAACAGCCTTCCCTGGGCTGCGTCTATAAGGTGGAGACAGTGTTGGGGGCCCAGGTTGGGGTGGGTCTAGAGGCTCATGCCTGCTGGGGGATGAGGGCCCAGCCATTGACACCATTTCCCTGCAGCTGGTGTCTGTGGGAGGCCAGCCTCGAATGAAGCTGACCGAGGACCCCGAGAAGCAGACGTTGCCAGGGAGCAAGGCTGCCTTCCGGCTCCTGGGCTATGATGGTGAGCCCCCTCCCTCCCCTCTGTTGTTCCCCTTCAAGGGCTCAGGTCCCCCACATAATTTTTGCTCCCACCCCCAACAGGGTCTCCGCTGTTGGACGTGCTGCAATTGGCAGAAGAGCCACCGCCGCAGGCTGGGCAGGAGCTGAGGGTTTGGCCTCGAGGAGCGCAGGAGCCCTGTAACGTGAGGCCAGCCCAGGTGGAGCCACTGCTAAAACTCTGGGTCCAGCAGGGACAGGTAACTGCCCCCACCCAACCTCTCGGTCTGCACCCCCAACCCCAATTTAGCCCTGACCCAAGCCAGCCTCCCCTCCTCCTGCAGCTGTGTGAGCCGCTCCCATCACTGGCAGAGTCTAGAGCTTTCGCCCAGCTGTCCCTGAGCCGCCTCAGTCCTGAGCACAAGCGGCTGCGGAGTCCTGCACTGTACCAGGTGGGATGGGCCCCTGTCACCTGTCCTGGGCCCTCTGCTCCCACAGCCACCCATCACCCCTCTCCTCCCTGCAGGTGGCACTGTCGGAGAAGCTGCAGGACCTGGTGGACCGTCTGCGTAGGGGAGGACCCCTGTGAGAATCCAGGTGGTGGGGGTGCCTGGAGACAACACGAGTCACTTGTTGTCCCCCACAACTTGTTATGTGCCATTTGTTTGCCCCACACACTGCTCACTTGGTGCCCCAGGGCCTCCAGGGCTGGGCTGGAGTCAGGAATCAGGATTCATGCTCCTAGGGGAAGCACAGGTCCAGCCAGGGTGTGGAGACCGCCCTGGGGGAAGGCCCAAAAGGCAGCGAGGAGTGTCCTCAGCCCAGGAAGCTGAGCTATGGGGAGCCAGACCTGACACTGGAGCAGGCAGGGCCTCAGGTAGGGGGAAGGATTTGGCATCCACCTCACACTGGGAGAGTTACTGCAGAAGACTTGTCCTCGTCAGAGGGAGGCTGGGGATGGTGGGGCCCTGGAGTGGGGCCAGGGTGCCAGATAGAGGGTCCAGGCATGGCCCTGGGATACCATGCCTGCCTAGGGCACTGCCCCCTGGCTCAGGGCCAGTGAGGACATCTCAAGCTTCCCAAGCCAAGAGGGAGAGCCAAGTATCCTCTGCTATGCTGCTGTCAGCCCAGTACAACCCTGGCATCTGTCATGGGCCAGCCAGGCCCTGGCTTTGGGGCCTCAGCACCTGACCCAGCAGCCTGGGAAGGGCAGAAAGGGTGGAGAAGAAACTGAGGCTCCAGGAGCCAACTCAGCTCCAGACACAGCCGGCAGGTCCTGGGCCAGCCTCAGCCTGCTTGGCTGTGTGTGGGGTTGGCCTTGCCACTGTGCGGGCAAGTTAGAGATCTCAGGGCTCCACCCACCCTCGTAACTTGGGCTACAGAGGAACCGCCCAGGAGAGACGTTCCAGGCTTGGCAGGAAGCAGAAGTTGGGGGCCTGGGCCCTTGTCCAGGCAGCTCAGGATGGCATAGACAGTCCAGGGCGTGGGGGGAATGCTGACTGTCTGGGGTGCTTCCGGGAGCACTTCTGCCCGCCCAGGTATTCCACTGGACCAGCTCATCTGGCTCTGCAGGGCTCAGGGCCAGGCAGTGCCCACTATGTGGTTGGGTGAGGGTGGAGGTGGGGATTGGGGGCAGAGGCCTGGTCAGGCCAGCCCTGGGAACATGAGCTAGGAGAGATACAGATTCATACACATGCTGGACAGAACACACTGTGCTCCAGGTACCCACAGGGCACCAGTCTTAGCTGTGCACTCCTAGGGGCCCAGCTAGAGTGAGGGACACCACCTCAGAACTGGCCAGGACCCAGAAGGGCCCACCTCAACAGCAGTAGGCACCTGCAACTGGCAACAACTCCTCTGGCTTTATTTGGTAGCCCCCTCCCAAGGCTCCCCTCAGCTTGGAGATGGTGACAATTTACCCACTCATGGCCATTCCAGGATGTCTGATGGGACTGGAGTCTAGGGGGGCCAGCCCAGCCCGTGGCCTAGCCAAGACCCTGCTGCTTCTTTAGGGCTGAATCAGGCCTCTGCTCTGGGCTGGACCCAGACTCCTGGACCCTGTCAGGGCCTCCTCAGGGCTGTCTACAACTGCCCTGGGCCCCTGGCCAAGAGCTGGTAGTCAGGGTTAAGGGCTTCTATCCACCCTTCTTTGTGGATTTGCCACCTCCTGGAGATCCTGCCCCTTCCAGGGCCCTGGTGGGTAGAGCCAGACCATGGATAGGCTGGCCACTTGCCTCCCACAGCCTAGGCAGGAGGCCCTTCACAAGCCCACAGCAGACACCTCTGAGTGGCTGCCCAGTCCCCTCCCCACAGAGTGCACGCTCACACACGCACCACCACGCCTGTCCAGGGGCCCGCCTGTGGTCCCGCCCGGGGCCTGCTTCTAGGTCAGGCCTGGGCACGACTTCCCAGGAGGAGCAGGGGCAGGTGCTACTGGCTGGGCAGCCATGGCTGGGGGTATGTGGGGCCGCCCCCGGGGGGCACCCGTAGGGGCTCTAACACTGACAGCTCTGGCTGAAGGGATCCGGGCCAGCCAGGGGCAGCCCCTAGGACCCTCTTCCACGGGCCCTCAGCCCAAGCCCCAGGCCCAGGCACCTGGCCTCACCACCAACGCTGAGCCTGGAAGTGGAGCTGCTGCCCCCACAGCTGGCAGTGAGCCCTACTCCCCAAGCAGTGCTCCGGAGCCAGGATCTCACCAGGTGAGTGATGAGGGAAGGAATGCTGTGGGGACGGGCCTGGGGGCTCCCAGCTCATCTCTGAGCTCATGAGGATGCCAGATGGACAGAGGACAGAGGGGTGCCAGATCTGGGGAAGGTCAGGGTAAGACAGGCTAGGGAGCAATGTAGGGTATGCTTTGTAGGAAGCTGGGAGGGGTAGGGAGCCTAGGGCAGGCTCGGGGACTTCAAACACCCCACCCTCTGCCCTAGGCCTCCCGGAGTTCCTGGGAGGAGGGTACTCTTGCCGACCTTGCCTTGTACACAGCTGCCTGCCTGGAGGAGGCTGGCTTTGCAGGGACCCAGGCAACAGCGATTAGCCTGTCCTCAGCCCTGGAGGCCCATGGGGCACGGCTAGAGGACCAGGTGAGCCTGGTCACCCTTTTCCTACCTGATGGAGCCCCTTCCAAGGTGGGGGGTGGGGATTGGAGTGTGTAGTCTGAAGCATGGCCCCCCTTCAGGCTGCTCCTGATGGGTGAGGTGGGGCGCTAGCAAGAGGAGGCCTGACTGCTGACCTTGGCTCCCTCCACCCCAGGTGCATGCTTTGGTGCTGGGGTTGCTGGCACAAGTGCCCAGCCTGGCCGAGGGGCGGCCTCGGCGGGCAGCCCTGCGGGTGCTGAGCGCACTGGCCCTGGAACACTCAAGGGATGTGGTGTGTGCACTTCTACCACGCTCACTGCCCCCTGACTGGTAACTGCCCTGCCCCATGGTGCAGCAACCCTGAGGCCCCCATGCAGCTTCCTTCCCGCTTGGGCATGGAGTCTGGCCCCAGGCTGTTAAGGGGCAGAATGTCCTTAGTCTTTCCCTTAGACTTCTATCCCAAAACCCCCACCTTTAGTTCTGCAAACTACCCCTACCACTCCAGCCTCAGGGTCTCTCAGATGCCAGTTCCTGTCTTGGGGCTGGCCTGTATCTCCAGCGGCCCCTGGAGACCAGCTGGGTTGTGCTTCAGTGTGGGGTGAGCTAGCTGGGTGGCTGTTGGCCATGCTGCCCCTGGCTCTTTGGTTAAACTGCCCCAGAAGTTATCCTTGGTCCTGTTCTCTGAGGTGATTTTTAATGCCAGGTTTGCTTCACTGTCACTGACCTGTTGGGGCTCGAGCGATCCCAATCCAGCAGCTGATCTCATCTACCGGCAGCATTGTGGTCTGCACAGTGCCACTTATTTTGTTTCTCTGGGATTAGGGGATGGGGGCTGGTTCACCTGCCTCTCCCCTGCTGGAGTCCTAGGGGCTGCCTCCATTGCCTCCCCACCTGTCCCTGCACCAGACCCATGTCTCACGCCAGCCCCACCCCCACCCCACCCCTCAGGGCAGCAGCCGAGCTCTGGCGCAGCCTAAGCCGGAACCAGCGTGTAAATGGGCAGGTGCTCGTGCAACTGCTGTGGGCACTGAAGGGTGCCACAGGGCCCAAGCCGGAGGCGCTCGCGGTAGGTGGCTCTAGCCAGGTCTGCCAGGGGATGCTGCCTGGCCAAAGGGGGTGGGAGAGTCAGAACCTGGAGGCGGAGGTGTGGTGGACAGCAAATTCTCCCTGAGCCATGTGGAGTCCAGAATGCCCTGAGGCTTTGTCTGAAGCATGCCCACCCCTCTGGTGCTTGAGTGGCTCCAGGCACACCCAGGCCTGAATGGTCCACTTGCTCTGCAGGCCACACGTGCTCTTGGGGAGATGTTGGCCATTTCAGGCTGTGTGGGAGCCACGAGGGGCTTCTACCCACACCTGCTGCTGGCACTGGTCACACAGCTGCACAAGCTAGCTCACAGCAGCGCACACTCCCCTGATACTCCCAAGATTTGGGTCCTGTCCCACCGAGGGCCACCACACAGCCATGCCAGGTGAGAGGCAACACTGGGGTAAGTTGGGACAGGTTAGTGCCCTCTCAACCCTCACTGCCTACTCACCTGCTGTCCCCACCTACAGCTGTGCAGTGGAGGCCTTGAAGGCCCTGCTCACTGGGGATGGGGGCCGCATGGTGGTCACATGCATGGAGCAGGCAGGAGGCTGGAGGAGGTTGGTGGGAGCCCACACCCACCTGGAGGGCGTCCTGCTGCTGGCCAGGTAAGGAGGGGACCGTGGTCAGGGGGAGGCTCATTGATGGCCAGGTGCTGGGTAGCTGGGCCAAGGAAGAGGTGGAGGCATGTGGGTAGTGGTCCTATGGAAACTTTCATGAGGGTTGAGGCCACCAAGTAAAATGAGAGCTCCCATTTCCACTCTATCCCAGTGCCATGGTGGCGCATGCAGACCACCACCTGCGAGGCCTCTTTGCAGACTTGCTTCCCCGGCTCCGCAGCGCCGACAACCCTCAGCGCCTCACGGCAATGGCCTTCTTCACCGGGGTAAGCCTGCTTCCCAGATGACTGGTGAGGGGATGGACTTGATCCTTATGGGGCTTTGGCCTACACGGGCACCAAGAGCATGCTGACCCCGTGTTCCTCGCCTAGCTGTTGCAGAGCCCGCCCACCGCACGGCTACTGCGGGAAGAGGTCATCCTGGAGCGGCTCCGCACCTGGCAGGGTGACCCAGAGCCCACCGTGCGCTGGCTGGGCCTGCTCGGCCTCGGCCACCTAGCGCTGAATCGCGGGAAGGTGAGAGGCGGGGCCGGGCGGGGCGGCGGTGAGGTCTGTGAGGGAGTGACCACGACTCCCTGCCCCAGCAGGTGCGGCATATGAATACGCTGCTGCCGGCACTCCTGGGGTCGCTGGGTGAGGGCGACGCTCGGCTCGTGGGCGCAGCACTAGGCGCGTTGCGGCGGCTCCTCCTGCGGCCACGGGCACCGGTGCGGCTCCTGAGCTCGGAGCTGGGACCGCGTCTACCCCCGCTGCTGGACGACGTGAGCAACGCCCCGCCCCCTGTCTCCCAGCCCAGGCTCCGCCCCCTGTCTCCCAGCCCAGGCCCCGCCCCCTCCAGGATCTCTGGGCGACCCACCAGGCCCTGCCCCGATCACCACCCCAGTCAGCGGCTCTCGCTGGACCCTCTCCTTCCTCGCTCAGCCTTGGCCACTCCCTCCCACGCTCGCACCCCTCTCACTCTCCGCCCGCCCTGACCGCGCCGTCCCACGCAGGCCCGGGACTCAGTGCGCGCCTCAGCGGTTGGGCTCCTCGGGACTCTGGTGCGGCGGGGCCGGGGTGGGCTTCGGCTGGGGCTTCGCGGCCCACTGCGGAAGCTGGTGTTGCAGAGTCTCATGCCACTGCTGTTGCGCCTCCACGACCCCAGCCGGGACACTGCTGAGGTCAGCCTCCCCTGGAGACCATCCCACCCTGTCCCATCCACATTCCCCACGCCCATACCGCCTTCCCAAGGAAGATCACAAGTCAGGGTCCCTGACCGCCCCCCCCAGGACCTCAGGTGCAGGCTTCATGTGCCACCATGTTCCTGGCCTTCCCTTGGACCACTGTACTCAAAAGCCCCTGCCTTGGACTCTCCCACCCCTCATTCTGGCCACTCCCTCCACTGCCCACCCAACCTTTTGCCACTTCCTAGATCCCCAATCCTGCTCCCTTCCCCTATCCCAGAGCTCTGAGTGGACCCTGGCCCGCTGTGACCAGGCCCTTTGCTGGGGCCTGCTAGAGGAGATGATCACTGTGGCCCACTACGACAGCCCAGAGGCCCTAAGCCGCATCTGCCACCGCCTGGTCAGTGGGGGAAGCACGTGAGGGTGAGGGGTGTGGTCACTGCTGCTTGTTCCAGTATTCACCAGGGCCCCAAAACTGAGCCCCCACCACAGCCAGACCTGTTCACCAGGCTCCCTGCCATGCTGCTCTGCCCCGGGGCTTCCTGTGCTGTCCCAGCCTGGGTTCACCTCTGTAGCCTCCTCTCCACTCAGGACTGGCTTTCCTGTCCTGTCATGAGCACTTTTGTCCCTAGATTCAGCGATACCCCAGCCATGTGCCCAACTTTCTGAGCCAGACCCAGGGCTACTTGCGGAGCCCACAGGACCCCTTGCGCCATGCAGCCACCATGCTCATAGGTGAGGCAGTCCTGGGATCACACTGTCCCTCGAACCAACTCTGGGAGGTGGGCTAACCCATCCCTGCTGGGGTGTGAGGCCAGTGCTCATAGCTGTGCTGTGGTCCAGGCTTTCTCGTCCATCATGCGAACCCGGGCCTCGTCCACCAGGACTTGCTGGACTCCCTGTTCCAGGGTGAGAACCCGACTTGCCAGGGCGGGGAGCCTGGAGAGGTTAGCGGGTGCTGGGGCAGAGTGGACAGGAGCGGCTGGGTAGAGGACCAGGGGCTGGGTCTCCTCTCCCACGCAGCCTGAGCGGCTCTCTCCGCAGACCTGGTGCAGCTGCAGAGCGACCCCCAGCCGGCTGTGGCCGGGGCGGCGCAAGTGTCCTCCCAGCAGGTGGCGCTGCTGGCCTGCACCCAGAGTCGACCTGGCGGCCCGCTTCGCCTTGGCCTGGTCTGGCACCGCTCCCAGCCCAACCGGCCTGTGCCAGTCTTCGCGGACAGCCCTTTCCAGCGCCGGAGCCTCGCTGGCCACTGGGGCTGCTCTGGACCGCGCCCAGCCTGAAGATCAGGGATCTGACTTGGGCATCCCATTCACACTGGAGCCAGTCCCTGCCCTGCTTGGGCGCCCAGGGCCTGGTGCTGGATGCCAGTGCCCGCTCCCCAGGACTCTCCAGATGCCCACCACCATGACAACCATGTGCCAGAGAGGAACAGCAGCACTCTCTGTCTGGCCCCTCCACCCTCAGTTCTTCCCCCTGCAACCATGTGTGTGCCTGCCCTCCTCTGGCCTCTTGTTCTTCCAGCCCCCTGGAGTGTGCCCTGCTCCCCAACCTGGCCGGGAGGGCACCTGGCCTCCTGAGCCAAGGTCTGGTGGGGGCATTGAAGCTGGTGCCCCATAGACTGCCTTCCTGCCCCTTCCCAGCCCTACACTTTGTGCCTGGTCCTATCTCTAAGGCCTGTCAGGGCCTTCCCAGCTGTCTCTGCAGCCATCGCCCCCACTCCTCACCCATGCTCACTCCTTGCTGGCATCCTGAGGTTCCTGGCCTATGTCCTTTCTACTCAAGAAGTGTTGACCCGACCTGTCCACACCTGCTGTCCCTTCTCAGCCTGGCTGCCATTCCCGCCCCCACCACCCACCTTCATAGTGTAAGGCCTCCTCAGAGCATGACCTTCTCCAGAAAACGTCCCTGACCTCTTCCCAGCTGGACAGCACAGGCCCTAAGTTACACCTATGGAATCAGATGTGGGGTACTGGCATGCCTACTCCACCAGACTGTACTTGTGGTAGTACCCAACACCCTGCACAGGGTTGAATGAGGAAGGTGAGACTGGACACACAAGGGAGAAGCTCCTCTGGCTCTGGCCCGGCAGGTTTCTCCACCAGGAATGTCATCACCCTGCAAGGCCTCTCTCCTGACCTCCTCCTCAGGAGAGTCTCCTCACACACACCAGGAGTGTGCACAGCCTCATAAAGGCCCAGTAGGCATAGCCATGGGGTCCTGCCCTCACCGTCTCCCTAGTTCCCACATGGATGCCAGGCACAGTGGTTCACACTTGTAGTCCTGGTGCTTTGGGAGGCTGAGGCAGGAGGATCACTTGAGGCCAGGAGTTTGAGGCCAGCTTAGGCAACATAGCGAGATCCCATTTCTATACAAAAATTTAAAATTAGCCAGGTGTGGTAGCATGCACCTGTAGTCCTAGCTACTCAGAAGGCTGAGGCAGACCAGGTGTGGTGGCTCATGCCTGTAATCCTAGCACTCTGGGAGGCTGAGGCGGGCGGATTGCTTGAGGTCAGGAGTTCGAAACCAGCCTGAGCAAGAGCGAGACCCCCATCTCTACTATAAATAGAAAGAAATTAATTGGCCAACTAATATATATAGAAAAATAATTAGCCAAGCATGGTGGTACATGCCTGTAGTCCCACCTACTCAGGAGGCAGAGGCAGGAGGATTGCTTGAGCCCAGGAGTTTGAGGTTGCTGTGAGCTAGGCTGATGCCACGGCGCTCACTCTAGCCTGGGCAACAAAGTGAATCTCTGTCTCAAAAAAAAAAAAAAGAAAGCTGAGGCAGAAGTATCACTTGAGTCCAGGAGTTTGGGGCTGCAGTAAGCTATGATGACGTCACTGTACTTCAGCCTGGGTGACTGAATGAGACCCTATCTCAAAAATAAATAAATAAATGAAATACACATAGATCGAAGAGGTTGGGTGTCTGTCTGAGAACATGGTTAGGATACGCTGGCTGGCCCAAGATCTGGCCCAGGCTGGGGTGACAGGTATTAAGCTACGCCTAAGGTAAGGGTTAGTCTGGGAGCAGGGTTAAAGGTCAGCCTGGGTTTACCCTAAGACAAGAGGAGAAGCTGTGCTCTGGTCCAACACACGCTGAATTGATGGGGTCAGAGCTCAGGCAGGACTGAGGTTAGGGTCTCTATAGGTCATTCTCAGGGCAGGTTAGGATCAGGCCAAGGACATGGGTCTTTGTGGAGCCATGGGCAAAGTCTGGTGGATTTGTTCGGATCCTTCAAAGCAGGTGCCAAAACAGGATTAAACATACAAGACGTGTCAGGAAATGCCAGGGAGGCCAGGAGACCACTAGACACCCAGTGAAGGAAAGAAGGAAGGAAGGAAAGGAGATAGGGCAGCACCTTGGGCGTTCCTGCCAGCCTGCAGAGTTCTCATGCCAGTCCCCTATCCAGAGTCCACACCTCCCAGGACCAGCCAAGAACACCCATGGAAGTGTGGCCTCGCACAAACACAGGTATGGCTTTTGGGATACAGCCCACATGGATCCCCTCAGTGGCAGCCCCAGTGAGCAGGCTGGCCCTTCTGCTCAGCTTGCAACCTGGGAGCCAGACCCTGGGGCGAGCATGTGAGGCCCATTGCCCCCACCAATCACAGGCACATCTGCACCTCAGAGCACAGTGGGACAGTCTGATGGGCTACCCCAACGCTGCTGTACAGCCTACCCTTGCATGGTGAGCAGGCAGCATCTCCACTGCTCCCCACCTACACCCCGTCCTATAGCAGATGCTTGGTGCACAGGCTTTCTCTTGTACCCTGCATCTGCCTATTATGAATGTGTGTTCACTTATCCAGGCACATGTAAGGTTCACGTCAAATCCAGAGCCTCTAGGAGCGGGACCCTGAACAGGGTTTCTCTGCTGGGATGGCCTGGCCCCTTCACGGGTATGCCACAGATGGGGGCCCAGGTCCATCAGCTCCATTGCAGAAGAGCTACCAGAGGTAAATCTTCCAACTGGGAGCTGGGATCAGAGGGCAAGTGTGTAGCTGCATCCTGACACGTTCACTCCCTTCTCATAGGTGGCCTTCTGGCCACAGAGAGAGGTCAGCCTCCATCTTGATGCCCAAAAGCTCTCTGATGGGCTGTGTCACTTGAGAGCTCATTAGTGGCTCTGGACTATCCAAATGGGGCTTGGGTGTCTCGGCTCCAGGAGCAGTGCCCATGTGCCTGCTTCTTTAGTGCTTTCCAGGACCTGGCTGTGCCCATCCCATTCACCCTGGCTCTGCTGATCAAGTCACCTGAAAGATGGTTTTCAAAGAAGGACCGTAAGCCTGAGAGGCGTTGAGCTTCTTACTCCACTGGGTGTGGGAGGCTGGGTTCTAGATTTCTATAACTTGGGTCTGAGATATCTGGGGTGCAGTTTTTAAAATATTTTTTCTTTTTGTCTTCTTTTCCCCTTTTGCATGAGAATTTGAAGGAACACTGTCTTCTGTTTCAATATCAATTTCACTATTGGGCTTGAATCCTGGGTATTCTTAGATATTTAATGTCCCAGCCATAGCCAAACCCACTGTCTCTTCTCTTTGGCAAGTCCTGCAAGGCATGTGTTGACAGTGTGCCCTGACAGGGCAGAAGGCTGGGTGACACCGGCAGGTAGATTGCAGTCCCCACCAATGAGGGCTATCTAAGCTCCTCAGCGTGATGGCAGCTCCCTAGCTCCATCAGCTGTTGCACGTGCCTCCTGGATGCAGGGTCTACAGCTGTTGAGCCCTGCCAGCAGTGAGCTTGATGTGCACTCTGAGACCTGTTGAATTCCCAGGGCCCACAGCTAGGGCCAGGAGCCTCCTCGCTACAGTGCAAGTGGATTTGGGTGAAACAGACCAAAGGCCAGTTTCTTTTCAGTACAGGTCACCACTTCTCCAGGAACCTCCCATGTGGCCCCAGGAGGGAAGGGTCTGTCTGTCATCAGCCATCCATGTACCCCTATAACTCCTGTGGGAAAAGGATGGGCCTACAACCTTCAGCAGGGTGTCCCCTGTTCCTTCAGTACCTCAGATACAGACCTGTCCTAGTGGACTCCACCTTGCCTTATCCACCATGCCCATCACTACAGGATTGGGCCTGTGGGCAGGGCCATGTGCTGGTCACTCTGGAGCAGGCAAGTCCAAGCACAGGGCAGGCTTCTCTTGGCATCATGGTACGCAAAGAGCTATGGGAGACATGCCTACTCTCGGCCCCCACACCCCCTCAGATGCTGCATGGGCATAGTCCCCATCCCCACCCATGCCACCCCAGATCCAGGACCCCTCAGAAACCTAGCACCCAGTCTTTCTTCCATACATTACATTTATTGAGTTTTCCCAACTTCCAGCCCCATGGTCAACTAGCCATGTGGCTAACTTGGGCTCTTGGCCTTCCTAGGGGGGCCAGCTGGGTGGGCACTAACTGCCCTGCCTGGAGGGCTGCTCTGGTGTGTGGGGTGCAGGCTACTGGGGCTCCTGGCTCAGTCCTGACAGCAGCACCAGGGAGGCATAGAGCGCACAGGTGGGGCCTTGTGCCTGCGGCTCCCAGCGCACATGGGGGGCATCCACCTGCAGCTCCAGGCCACACTCCTCCAGCAGGACCCAGGCTGGTGCCCCCTCAAGCCAGCTGCTACTTAGCTCCAGGGGCAGGGACACGGTGCCACGCTCCTGCCATGGGGCCCGCTCCAAGAGACTCCCCACCTGCCAGGGCAAGGTGTGGCTGGTCAGAGAGGGCCCACAGGCATCCTGCTCAAGCCTGCATCACCCCTTCCCCAGCCCCAGCCCAGTCCTATACCCGCACCCTCTCACCAGCTTGAGCTGCCCTGGCAGGGCCCCTGTCTCCAGCGCCTCGGCCAGCAGCACATGTTGGGTTTCACTCAGCACTAGGGAGAGACCTTGGTGAGAGGCGTTCTGGAAGGCCTGGCTGAGGACACCCATACCCTTCCCTCCTGCCCTAGCATAGGGGCCACTTACCGGTCAGTGCCCCCAGCAGATAGAAGATGGAGTTGGCAAGCTCCTGCACCAGCATCCCGGAGGGGAGCAGCAAGCACTGGAGGACAGCACCCGCTGGGCCGTCTAGGGGTTCTGCCCACCCACTGCATAGGCCCTGCTCCAGCTGTGGGCATGGGAGGGGCAGATGAGCCTGGGCTGTCCGGGCATGGCCTGTCCACCCTCTGGCCTTTCCCCAGCTCACCGAATCCTCTAAGGCTTGCAGGGCTGGTTTGTTCCGCAGTACTGCGGCCAGGTCCCCCAGCAGCTGCCGGCTCAGCCCGGGCTCCATGTGCTCCAGCTCCGTGGACCTGGCTCCCACCTCTGCCTGTAGGCCCTGGAAGTCTTCAGTGACCACCTGCTTCTCAGAGGGCCCGTCTGCAGGGACAGAGAGCTGCCACTGCCTGGGTGCCACAGGGCCCTGGAAAGCCCTGGTCAGGATAGGCAGACCCCAGGGACAGAAGGAGAGCCCCTCCTAGGGTCCCAGAGGTGGTTAAGAGGGCACTGACCTGCCAGGAACTTCTGGTCGTGAGAGATGGACTCTGTCGAGGAGAAGCCAAAGCACGGCTTCCACCAGCCATCTGCACTCCCAGAAGGCTTGTGGCCTGGGCAGGGGTGTGTGACGGGGGAGGGAGAGCAGGGCTGGTCAGTGCAGGAGCAGGTACCTGAGCCAGAGGAGGCCAAGGCCTTTCCTGGTCCCTCCCAGCCTTGGTCCTAATCCCTACTAATGGCTGCCCAGGACAGGGAGGAAGGCCAGGGTCAGTCTGTCCCTGTGCCACCCTGTGTGTGTACATGGGGGTGCCACCACCTCGGAAGGCTGACCAGCCACCCTGTGCCCAGAACACACAGGGAGAAGGCCTCCACTACCAAGGGAATGGCCACATGGGGCGTCCTTGGGCCTCACCTCTGGGGGGTGGCTGGAAGGTCCTCTGCTTCTTATCTGGGAAGAGGTGGATGTCTGGCAGCCAGGCAGGAGTGAATAGAGGGAGGTAAGTCACTCGGGGTCTTGGCCTCTCCTTCACCACTGGGGGCCCCCCAGTCCAGGCCCTGCCCAGTGACTCCCACACCAGAGCACAGGATGCTCAACCACCCTGCCTGACCCAGGCAGTTGTGCAGCCACATGCCCATAGCAGCCCCTAGCCAGCCACTGGCTCTCCCAGGCCTCCCTGTCACAGAGCCTGGGCCCCAAGGGCACACCGGCCCCAGCTCACCCCAGTCAGAGCCAATAATCAACTGGGCCACTCGGAAGGCAAGGATGGTACCCGAGGGGATGGTGACCATCTTCTTCTGGCTCAGGCGTCCTCGGCCCTCACCCTGAGGGATGGAGATGGGCTCAGGGTTGTGGGTATGGGCTA